AAGAAAGAAAGAAAGAAAGAAAGAAAGAAAGAAAGAAAGAAAGAAAGGGCCTCTTTAGCACAAACACTTTAGCTGCTTCAGACTCCTTGCTAGCACACAGGAATCTGTAAAAGTCCTGTGTCTGGAGTGAGACCTGTTAGATGTCCCTCTCTGGGCTCTGTCACTCTGAGCCTCTACTTAGGTGTGGGGTGCAGAACTTCATTTCTCTCAACCCCCAAAATACCTCTCACCCCTCTCTCTGGTCTAATACCCCTTAATAATTTCATGCTTTCAAAAACAAATGCCTGGAATAGATGCTGACCTCAATCAAAAGAACACAAAGGCCTGGCAACTGAGAGAACAAAACAGAGATTAAAGTCTCAAACAAAATACAGTGCCACACGAACATCAGTGCTATTTGGGTTTATTTAATATGTTCCTTAAAAAAAAGCCATGTTGTTTACTTTTAAGAAGATGAAAGGCTAAAACATGGCTGAAGCTTTGAAAGTGTGAAATACAGAAAGGGGTGGGAGAGGACATGGTTACTAATTGTGCCTTTGATGTCAGGGAATTAGAAAGCTTTATAAGGACCTGCAAGCTTCAGCATTCTGAGAAGAGCTGCACATACAGAGAGTGATTGAAGTCTGGGCATGGATGCATTTGCTCATTTCTGTTCTACTTGCTTCTCTTTCTTCGTGGGTTGTATGGGGGGTGAGTTCCTCATTAACTGACAAACTGTAATTTAATAGCCACAAAGAGTAACCACCCAAGTAGGGCTTAGCTTTGCCAAATCCATTCTGAATGTTAAAATGCCTTTTCTAATTTTTAAAGAATGAAATAAGTAACTGTAGGCTGTTCGCTGTAATTTAAAACTGGCAAAAACATGTGGAATGTTTTAGGGGTCATGGCTGTGAGCATCACGTCTTAGCCATTTGATCATCCCAAGTCAATTACATGGAAAGCTGGGGGTTTGGCTTCCCCAGTTCTCTACATGGCTCCATTCCTAAACACATCCTCTCCTATCCTGCATAATTCTCTTTCCCATCATGTCCTTCACTCTCTCACATACACGGCCTTCTCTCCCCAGAATCTATGCTCCTTCATCTGCTCCCCAGGTCATCTGCCCCTCCTGAATCCTTGGGTCTGCACCAATCTCCTCCCATTGCTAAGGGTCTGCCATGGGCTTGGAATCCCCCATCCTCCATTCCCCAGCTCTTCTGTCACTACTTCCTAGTTCTTTATTGCACTGGATTCTAAAATTAAAACAAAGACGTTTTACAAAGTGACCTCAGTGGAAGTATTTTTATTACCTCAAACTTAAGGAATTGGAGCCAGAGAGTCTGGATTAGCACTTTCACAGGTAAAGAACAAGTTAATTCTTTATCACTTACATCTCTGAGGATTTTTTGGAGTTTTATTAAAAAAAAAAAAAAAAGAGGTCTCTGCTCAGATGTCCTTTGAGCTTGTGTCCATGCTGTCTAAAATTAAAACAATCAGATAAGTGATCTGTTCCAATATGTGAACTTATACTTTATTAAAAAGTCCTAAAAGCATTAAGTGTTAAAGTCAAATTTGAGTATGTACACATTTTTATGTTGATTTTTTTGTTAAGAGTATAATTAACTGAACTTGAGATTGCTGTGCATTATAGAATTTTGGTCAGAGTATCTTAAGGGAAGAAACAACTTAAACCCAATATAGTTTTGAATGTATTGTGTTGTTTATAATGTGAAGAAACACTGGTTTCCTCATAGCCGTTCAATACCATTCTTGCAAAGACTTGCTCTTATGTGTAGTGCATGAGTTGTTTTAAGCATATCTATATTTATAGAGTGGTGCTAAGAGATAGGTTCTATTCTCATTTTATCTCATATTCTCATGCATACTGAGGCTATGGATTTTACTGATGCTTCAGGGCCTTGGTGCTCCTGAGCTGAGTCTTGGGTCGAGCATCCATGTTGTGGAGATCTCAGGAGGTCTTCAATGTCTTTACCAGTGAAACCCAGTGTAAACATCCTGAGGCCAGGTCTTATCCCCACAGTAGGGGGTCAGAGAGGGAGGTTGTGAGAGCCTCAGATATCTTCAGAGTATGGTGGATGGTCTGAGAGGAGAGGAGCCTTCTGATTAAAGATGAGCAGAAAGATGAAGTTATACCTAAGAGTGAGCTCTGTATGGAAGGTGGCTCGGCATGAAGGTGTGTGTGTGGGGGGGGGGGGGGGCGCGGGTAGGACAGTCAGAAGGTCATGGATTAGATCAGAGTATGGAGTATATTAATTAGAGAATAAGATTAATTTGCCAACATTGATCAATATTCAATGAGTAGATCTGTCTAAATACCTTTACTAATAAGATCCTTCTGCACACAAAGCTGTTTATTGAAGGAAGAATGATGGAAGATTTTCTTAATGTCAAAGTATATTCAATTATTAAAACTCATGATAATGAAGAAAACCGATACATAGTTGCTGTAGGTACAACGTAGACCTTTTCCCTTAGAAGCTCTTTGCTTTTTGTACGTTGCTTTTTCCCTTTTCCAGGTCTGGCCTTAACATCAGTTTAGCCCATTGCCTTCTGGTGGAATGTGAAGATTGGGAGCTGGGCACAGAATTTCCAAAAGGCAAGTTCAGCCCTTGAGAATAGCAACTCTGCCTTGGCCAACATTGTCATTTCTCTGCCCCTCATCCAACCCTCATTTTCAGATGGTTTTGAGAAGGAGGAAACTGCATGGGTGTTTTGTTGATCTACCTAAGTTCAAGACTAAGCTTCAGTGGTAACCTGCCAGAAGGTCTGATAATCTCAGGTAAGCAAACTAACTACCATGTCTGCACAGGGGCATAAACATTTTAGGCACCAGATACCCCAAATCAGCACATAAATAGCAGGCTCCTTTTAAAAACTTTCACATCAATTCTGTCCCATGAGCTCAAATTATTTAATGGTTTTATTTATTTTTGAAAGAGAGACAGAGAGACAGAGAGAGAGAGAGAGAGAGAGAGAGAGAAAGTGGGGGAGGGGCAAAGAGAGAGAGACACACACACAAATCTGAAGCAGGCTCCATGCTCTGATCTGTCAGCACAGTCACAGATCATGACCTGAGCTGAAGTCAGACACTCAACCAAGCCACGCAGGCGCCTCCTATGAGCTTATTCTTATGCACAGTGGCAGGATTATGGATAGAATTCAATTGCATAAATATTTAGGAAGTAACCTCTACTCTGGAGACAGGTGCAGTGCTAGCTGCTGCAGTCTATATTCCACATTCTAATTATCTGGAGAATGAGGATGCCCACTTACCAAGCTAGAACTTCAAAGAACCTTAAAATTCACTTTTCTCCTTCAAAACTTTGGCCAAAGGAGGGACCTGTCTAAGGTTCTCCCCACAGGCTGGTGTCACTGATAGCCTAGTCCTTAGCATGGGGGCAGAGGTGAAATATATTTTTTTCAATATATGAAATTTATTGTCAAATTGGTTTCCATACAACACCCAGTGCTCATCCCAAAAAGTGCCCTCCCCAATACCCATCACCCACCCTCCCCTCCCTCCCACCCCCCATCAACCCTCAGTTTGTTCTCAGTTTTTAACAGTCTCTTATGCTTTGGCTCTCTCCCCAGAGGTGAAATATTAAAAGGGTCAATGACCAAGTTAATTTCTGAAGAAAACATATTACTACCATATTACTAACAAAAACAAGGACAGCTACTGTGTTCTAGGCAGTAAATCAGTAGCTTTATGTTTATTTCCTCATTCTATTCTTATGATATTTATCATCTTCAATGTAAGGATGAGAAAACTGAAACCCAGAGATTAAATTACTTTCTGAAGTTCCATAGCCAGTAACAGGGCTAGGATGTGCCCTTAATTTTGATGATGTTCTGTGTGTGCAGTAATGACATTCTGTCTATATTTTGGATTTGCCACTTCCAATGTCTCCTCCCACAATTTCTGGTTGACCTCATAAGGTATATAGCTGATTAAAATGTCTGCAAGAGGGCATCAATCAAATGTTGATTTGAAATTATCTCTCTGAAGCCTTCCCTCCCCCTAAGATGCCTCCTATACTTTGTGTATTAAACAAATAAACAAAAAACCCTACTCAGTTTCAGACATATAAAATGTGGCTAATTTTGAAATGCAAAATACAACACCTTAAAGGGGTGATGTATGGAATAGTTGAATTACTATACTGTACATTTGAAACTAATATAACACTGTAATGTAACAATTTTAACAAACTGGAATTAAAATAAAAACTTAAAAAATAGCTCCTATACTCTCCAAAACCTTGCTCCCCTACTTCATTCTGTTACCTTGAAAATTCTCAGCCTAATTTAAAACATTCTTAAAAGAAAATTTTAAATATCACCCATGAAGCCAGGTTACCTGGAAAGGTAGATGTGATATTTGGAAACCTCCAAAAGTTGTTTGGAGTCAGGTGTTGCAAAAAGCAAACACACAAACTAAGAATCATGTGATTAACCCTGGCAAGGTTGTTTTCATTCAAATGTAGAGGTTTAATGAGCCAGGTTTTTTTTTTTTTTAATATGAAATTTATTGTCAAATTGGTTTCCATACAACACCCGGTGCTCATCCCAACAGGTGCCCTCCTCAATGCCCATCACCCACCCTCCCCTCCCTCCCACCCCCCATGAATTATTCTCAGTTTTTATAACTCTCTTACGGTTTGAATGAGCCAGGTTTAACTCATATGGACACCACACTAGTCCAAGGGAAGAATTTCCAACCTGGCAGACCAAGAGGAGTCCTTTCGAGGGTGATGCCTTTGAAAAAAACCTCAGAGACTTTAAAAAACTTTAGAGACACAGATGATCTCTTTAAAGTAGCTTACCTCAAGACATATATCAACAGTTTCTTGATTATACATACAATTATACATTTGCTCATTTTTCACATACACTTTATTCTGACATTATGAAATATACACAAAAACATAAATTTGAGGGATTAGATGAAAAAACAAATAGAAATAAAATTTCCAATACTTCTTTTCCTCACCCCAGTGGACTGTGCTCTCTCCCTCAGGAAGGCATGTTCCATTTTAGAGACAGCACCTTCTCTCTCCTCCTGTCCTTAGAGATTATTGCTTCCAAAATGATTGCAGCAATGATCTTCAAAGGATATTAGCCTACAAAGCCAATATCCAAGAGGTTGCAAAATGGTTTCCTGTGGGCCCATCACTCATTGTGGCCATCATCATGGGAGGGTCTTGCTGGGAGAATTCTCAGAAACAGCTGGGGAGATACAGGAAATAGTTTTGGGCTGAGGCAGGTATGACAGCAAAGCAGTGAAGGTTGGTTCAGCTGGCTGTTGGGATTTTGGCTATAGAAATTTAGAGGAGATTAAGGTACTATTTTTATTTTATTAGCATGTAAATGATCCAAACTCATACTTTGCTATAAGGCAAAATGTGCCCTTCTGGGTCCCCTCTCTATCAGGGCTTCTGCCTTGAACCTCTACACTTCCACCCAATTCTGGCTTCCTCCCTGGAGCTCCACCTGTCTGTGTTCCACTGAGGCTGTTGCTCCCTGATGACCCCACTTTTCCACTTCCTTCCTCCATCACAGTGAAATGATGACTTGAGGAGATCAGATAGCAGCTCAGAGGTAACTTTTCTGAACAGTTGCCCCTTCACTTGTATTCTTGAAGATGCAAGGAAATTAAAGGACTCCATTTCTTTCTCTTTTTAAAAAAATTTTATTTACCTTTTCCCCCAGTCTGAGATATAATTGACATACAGTACTGTGTAAGTTTAATGTGCACAACATAATTATTTGACTTATATATACTGTGAAGTGATGATCACAGTCAACATCCATCATGTTTTATAGAAAGAAAAACAATGTTATTTTTTTTAATTGGTGATGAGAACTCTTAGGATCTATCTTATTGATTTTTATTTTTTATTTAAATTCAAGTTGGATACCATACCGTGTAGTCTTGGCCTCAGTAGAACCCAGTGATTCATCTCTTACATATGACACCCAGTGCTCATCCTGAAAAGCGCCCTCCTTAATGCCCATTACCCATTTAACCCATCCCTCCCTCACCCTCCGACTCCAGCAACCCTCAGTTTGTTCTCTGTATTTAAGTGTCTCTTATGGTTTGCCTCTGTTTTTATCTCATTTTCCTTCCCTTCCCCTATGTTCATCTGTTGAGTTTCTCAAATTCCACATGAGTAAAATTATATGATATGTCTTTCTTTGACTGACTTATTTCACTTAATATAATACACTCTAGCTCCATCCACATTGTTGCAAATGGCAAGATTCCATTCTTTTTGATTGCTGAGTAATATTCCATTGTGTGTATGTATGTATGTATACCACATCTTATTTATCCATGCATCAGTCGATGGACATTTGTGTTCTTTCCATAATTTGGCTATTGTTGATAGCACTGCCATAAACATTGGGGTACACATGCCTCTTCGAATCAGCATTTTTGTATCCTTTCTAGTAGTACAATTGCTGGGTCATAGGGTAGTTCTATTTTTAACTTTTTGCAGAACCTCCATACTGTTGTCCAGAGTGGCCATATTCCCACCAACAGTGCAAAAGTGTTCCCCTTTCTCTGTATCCTTGCCAACATCTGTTGTTTACTGAGTTGTTAATTTTAGCAATTCTGACAGGTGTGAGGTGGTAACCACAATGAGATTTGTATTTCCCTGATGATAAGTGATGTTGAGCATCTTGTTATGTGTCTGTTAGTCATCTGGATGTCTTTGGGAAAGTGTCTATTCATGTCTTCTGCCTATTTCTTCACTGGATTATTTGTTTTGGGGGTGTTGAGTTTGGTAAGATTTTTATAGATTTTGGATACTAAACCTTTATCTGATATATCATTTGCAAATATCTTCTCCGATTCTGTCTTAGCCTTTTAGTTTTGTTTCCTTTGCTGTGCAGAAGCTTATCTTGATGAGGTCCCAATAGTTCATTTCTGTTTTTGTTTTCCTTGCCTCTGGAGACACGTCAAGCAAGAAGTTGCTGTGGCCTAGGTCAAAGAGGTTGCTGCCTGTTTTCTTCTCTAGGATTTTGATGATTTGTTGTCTCACGTTTAGGTCTTTCATCATTTTGTTTATTTTTGTATGGTGCAGTTTCATTCTTCTGCATGTCACTGTCCAGTTCTCCTAGCACCAATTGCTAGAGACTGCCTTTTTTTCACTGGATACTCTCTCCTGTTTTGTCAAAGATTATTTAGCCATATGCTTGTGGGTCCATTTCTGGGTTCTCTATTTTCTTCCATTGATCTATGTATCTATTTTTGTGCCTATACCATACTGTCTTGATGATTACAGCTTTGCAATACAGTTTTAAGTCCGGAATTGTGGTGCTTTCAGCTTTTTCTTTTTCAACATTACTTTGTCTATTCAGGGTCTTTTGTGGTTCCATACAAATTTTAGGATTGCTTGTTCTAGCTCTGTGAAGAATGCTGGTGTTATTTTGATAGGTATTACATTGAGTATGTAGATTGCTTTGGGGAGTATTGACATTTTATTTATTTTTTTATTATGAAATTTATTGTCAAATTGGTTTCCATACAACACCCAGTGCTCATCCCAACAGGTGGGGGAGTATTGACATTTTAACAATATTTGTTCTTCCAATCCATGAGCATGGGAATGTTTTTCCATTTCTTTGTGTCTTCAGTTTCTTTCGTAAGCTTTCTATAGTTTTCAGCGAACAGATCTTTTACCTCTTTGGCTAGGTTTATTCCTAGGTATTTTATGGGTTTTAGTGCAATCATAAATGGGATTGATTCCTTGATATCTCTTGCTGCTTCATTATTGGTGTATTAGAAATGCAACCAATTTCTGTACATTGATTTTATATCCTGTGACTTCGCTGAATTCATGTATCAGCTTTAGCAATTTTTTGGTGGAGTTTTTCAGGTTTTCCATGTAGAGTATCATGGCATCTGCGAAGAGTGAAAGTTTGACTTCTTCCTTGCCAATTTGGATGTCTTTTATTTCTTTTTGTTGTCTGATTGCCGAGGCTAGGACTTCCAGTACTGACTTTAAAATATATCTTACAGCAGTGTTAAGGATAGCCGTCCTGTATATTACAACCCTAGTACTTATAACTGGAATTTTATACCTTGAACCACCTTCATCCAATTCCCCATCCCACCACCTCCTACCCTTGGTAACCACAAATCTGATGTTTTCTTCTATGAATTTTTTTTTTAAGACAAAAAGATTCCACATACAAGTGAGATCATATAGTATTTGTTTTTCTCTGACTACTCTCAGTATAATGCCATCAAGGCCCATCCATGTTGTTGCAAATGGCAGATTTCTTTTTAATGGCTGAATACTTGTTATACACATATACCCAATTCCTTTATCCATTCATTTGTTGATGTATACTTTCGTTGTTTCCATGTATTGACTATGTTAGTAATGCTGCTATAAACAGGATGTAGGATGTAGAATCTCTCTTCAACGTTTTCATTTACTTCAATTACATTCCCTGAAGTGGAATTAGTGGATCATATGGTAGTTCAATTTTTAGTGTTTTGAGGAAACTGCATACTGTTTTCCATAGTGACTGTACAAATTTACATTCCCACCAACAATGTTCTGGACATCCTTGCCAGCATGTTATCTCTTATATTTCTGACGATAGCTTTTTTTTTTAAATGTTTTATTTTTGAGAGGGAGAGAGACAGAGGAGAGAGAGAGAGAGAGAGAGAGAGAGAGACAGAGACAGAGACAGAGGGAGAGAGAGAGAGAGAGAGAGAGAGTGTCAGGGAGGGGAAGAGAGGGAGACACAGAATCAAAGCAGGCTCCAGGCTCTGAGTGGTCAGCGCAGAGCCTGATGTGGGGCTTGAACTCACAAACTACAAGATCATGACCTGAGCCAAAGTTGGCACTTAACCACTGAGCCACCCCAGGCACCCCCTGATGGTATATACTCTAATATGAGATAACTCATTGTGGTTTTGATTTGCATTCCCTAATGATTAGTGATGTTGAGCACCTTTTCATGTACCTGCCATTCATAGATCCCCTTTGGAAAAATGTGTAATCAGGCCCTTGGCCCAGTTTTAAAATTGGACTATTTATTTTGCTATTGGATTGTAGGACTCTTCATATATTTTGGATACTAACCCCTTCTCAGGTATATGGTTTGCAAATATTTTTTCCCATTCCACAGGTTGTCTTTTCATTTTGTTGATGGTTTCCTTTGCTGTGCAGAGGCTTTTTAATGTAGTCCCACTTGTTCATCGATTTTGTTGCATTTTAGGTATCATATCCAAGAAGTCATTGCCAAGACCTATGTCAAGGAGCTTTTTCCTGTTTTCTTCTAGTTTTATGGTTTCTAGTCTTACATTTAAGTCTTTAATCCCTTTTGAGTTAATTCTTTGCAAGTGGTATTAAGATAAAGATTTAGCTTCATTCTTTTACATGTGAATATCCAAGTTTCCCAGCACCATTTAACTGTCTTTTCCCCATTGAGTGTTCTTGGCTCCCTTGTCAAATACAGTCGGCTGTATATGCATGGGCTTATTTCTATGCTCTCGATTCTGTTCTATTGGTTTATACATTTATTTTATGCCAGTACTATTCTGCTTGATTACTATTGCTTTGTAATATAGCTTGAAATGAGTAAGTATGATGCCTCCCACTTTTCTTTCCCTCAGGATTGCTTTGGCTATTCTGGGTCTTTGGTGGTTCCATGTACATTTTAGGATTATTTTCTCTATATCTGTAAAAAAAAAAAAAAATGCCATTGGAATTTTGATATAGATTGCATTGAATCTCCAGATGCCTTTGAATAGTGTGGACATTTTAACATTAATTCTTCCAGTCCATAAACACAGAATATCTTTCCATTTATGTCTTATTTGATTTTTTTTCATTAATGTTTTGTGGTTTTCAGAGCAGAGATATTTTACCTCTCTGGTTAAATTTATTCCTAAGTATTTTATTGTTTTTGACTATTGTAAACGAGATTGTAACAATTTCTTTTTCAGGTAATTTAATAGAAACGCTGAGTTTTTTGTATGTTGACTTTGAATCCTGCAACTTTACTGTATTTGTTAATTAGATTTAACAGTTTTGGTGGGGGGGGTCTTTAGAATTTTTCTATGTGTAAAATTATGTCATCTGAAAATAAAGACAATTTTGCTTTTTCTTTAAATGACTGCATTTCTTTTTTTTTTTTTTAATTTTCTTTTTTTTGAACGTTTATTTA